CCTGGCAGTGAGGATAATCCACTGAGACAAATATTCTTGTAGTAGCGATCCGAACTTGCAGGGTTTCCTGAGGAGCGAGAACTCCTTCTTTGTGTGTCTGAAGTAACCGCTGCCGAGCTGCGCTTCACCGATGCCTCTTATAGAGCGGTGGGTGGACCTTAGCAGGGCTGGGCGATTTGACACTTACTCCCACCCCCACATCCCAAGCATGTCTCAATCATTCTAGCGTGGGTTGGGGGCAACCCATACTAGGGTAAAAATAAGAGGATTATTGAAAATTATCTTAAACTATCCCCTGGGTATTTTGTTAATTGTAACGACAGCTTTTAGGTGTGGATTCCGAGTCATGGTATAACTTGCAAAATCTGATAACCCCCTCAGTCTGTTTTACTGGGGACAGGTTTTTTAACTGCCGATATATAACTGCTTACGCGGTCTGTAGCATAATTTCTCATTCTAGGCATCTTAACTTCAGGTGGGTGGAAGCAGGAGAGTAGGAACTAGACCCGATCAATTTTAAAATCCATGCAAACCCATCAAATGCCAAAGTTCCAAAAATAAACCCACATTTGGACAACGTGAATTATAATGAGTAGATGTAATGAACGCCAGCCTTCTTGACATAGATAAGGAGGTGACAAATCCAGGGGAGGCTTCCCGTGCGTCGTTTTATTGCCAGTCTGCAAACCTTTACATACGCGAGTGCACTTACTCGGTTATAAAGCTAAACCAGTGCGGGATCAAGGTCTCTAACAGCATTCTCCCGGCTGGCCAGCAGCAAAACCTTAGTCTAGCCACCTTCTTTATTTATTTTTTTTTTTGTTTTTTCCACAGCCTTTAACAGTCTCCCTGACTGTTCAGAAATGCGGAGGTCCGGCTTCGCAGGGGGTGCTGCGCCAGACGGACTGTTGCTCTACTTCTTGTCGCAATGCAAATTCAGCTGAACCGAGGGAAGTGTCCCAAGAGACCTGCGCACTGGGGCGCCAGGGTCCCCTTCCCAGCGAGAGATACTCTGGAGGGAGGAACAAACTGGCATGTGCGAGATGTTTCTCTCACATCTTGCCCCGAGCAAAGTGTTTCAAAAATCAGGTGAGTATGTAGTCGTGACTCTGCCTTTCTAGGCAACCGCGGTATATAACAACACCCTGGAGAGGTATGTGCAAGGGGATGACGGAAACTTCCCTGTGCACGGCTGACTCGGTCTGAGGTGCTCCCTCCCTGCCTCGCCAGCACCGTCCAG